TTATTATTATTATTATTATTATTTTGAGGTTACAGTAACCAGAACTGGTTTTATACCATCACAGTTTCCACCCAACTAAATGGTTTTTTCATATCAACACAAACTTGCTTCTGTTTCAAACTAACTGTCCATTAGATCTGCTAATGCAAGCTCAGATATGCTGAAAGGAGAGCAGCAGCCTAACAATTGTCACACTTTTGTTGTTTACATCCCAAACCCTATCCTAGGTACATGCAGTTGTGGTCAGTGAATCCATTTATATACATGCAAAAAAGCACACAACTACATTCATTTTGTTTCTGCATTCCATTGCATCCTTTCTTCTCAAAATTAATTTCCACTGAAACTTTTCTGGATCCTCAATAATGGTTCCTCTAGAAATAATAGATCATTTTAACTAGGCATTATATTGAATTATAGATTACAGTTCTGCCTGGATGAATACTGCCATCATTGAAAACTAATTAGTATGTAGAGACATTTGTTGACCAGCGACTTTCAGGTGACTTTGTAAATTAGTTCCTTTGAGAGCTGGAATCCTTTTGCTTTAGTGTAGTAACCCACAACTAGAATAGACCCATTGAATCAGTGAGGATTTCGTAAGTCAACACTCATTTGATAAGATCAGAGATCCACTGATTCAGTGGGCATACTCTAGCTGCAACTTAGTATATTAGGCATCAGGATTTCAGCCATTGTATTCTGGAATGATGGTAGAAGCTGAAAATCTATAAATAGCTAAAGGAAGTAAATCCAAATGACAGAGCCAAGGAAAAATCAAAGCATACACAAACAGGGCATGCAACCCCTTAATAATGAAAGTAGTTCAATATAATTTGTTATTGTTAGTCTGTGGAACTCCTTGCCAGAGGATGTGGTGATGGCATCTGGCCTAGATGCCTTTAAAATGGGTTTGGTCAGGTTCCTGGAGGAAAGGTCCATCACACTTTACATGATGGGGATGTACAATCTCCAGACTTAAAAGGAAAGTACCTCAACATGCCAGATGCAGGGTAGGGGTATCAGGAGACAGGTATCTAGTTGTTTCGTGTGCTCCCAGAGGCATCTGGTGCGGCCACTGAGAGATACAAGAAGCTGGACTAGACAGGCCCTTGGCCTGACCCAGCAGGGCTCTTCTTATGTTATTATAATGGGAAGGTGATGGCCACATTTTTATAACAGGTTTATTCACACCACTTTTCTGCTTGCTGGTTATACCTGCACTCTGCAACTATGTAAAAGCATGCTATTGCCAATGTGTATTGGCATAGAATATTAAGGATTATTCATTAATCCAACATTTCTAGACTCACTCCCTGGACCTAGTTGGAGGTAGAATTATCCAGATTACTTGGGAGATATTTCCCACTCAATTCAGAAGCATTTACTTCTACAGGATATGATGTTGATAGCAACAGAAGGTAATTAAAAACTGCTGGAAAATATAGACATACACACCATGATCTAGCTAGCAAACAAGTTTCTACCCACCTACAGCTGCACAATGAGCTTTGTGTGTAAACATATTCCATATATGTAGTTATTTCCTCCTATTCAGGCAGTGCCCCACCTGTCAGGAAATTGGCACTTAATCTCATCAGCTGTTTGAGATGTGAAAAGCAGGGAAACACAGCCGCTCGCTCTCCCTTTATTCTCACTGGACACTTGATTGGTCTGCTTTCTTTTTTTCCAACAGGCACATTTAGAGTTGAATTAGGTGCATGCCCTATTAATTACAATTAAGTAGTTATTCGTATCTAGTTACTTCTAAGCTTAAGTTTATTAAATTTAGATCATCTTTCTGTAGTGATATGACCGTGATGGTTGAAGCAATGATAAACATTACCACAGTGTAGGACTTACCTTTCTCAAATTACAACCCTCTTTCTTCCCATAAAGTACACACAACAAATTAAGATGAATGTCTAAACCTCTTCACAATGTGGCACAGAAGTGGTGTGCTTGTGTGCATGCAGCCTTCTCTTAAAATATAAAAATGAACCCCCACTAGATGTATTCTATCTCTTTTAGAATACTTACAGAGAGGTTTCGTAGCCTAGATTTCCCCCCAAATGAGACTAAGTGTTTCAATGTAAAAAACAAAAGCACATAAATGCCAAATATTTTCTAAATATCAAGTGTATGTAAAACAGTAAGAGTGGACGTGTCTCAGTGTTCTTATTTGCTTATCACCCCAGAAACATCTGGAAACTAATTACATATTTATTATATGGGAAAGCTGGGTCAACTGATAGTCCTTGGCATTCAGTGTCTGCCAGTAAGGCTTTATTACCCCAGCTCAAGCCAAAACAGCATTCTTATTCCAAACATGCCAAGAATGACAAAATAAGGAATGTAGGTGGTTCTTTCCTAGCAGCTGCAGCCATTTCATTGCAGAGTGAACCAACATATTTAGGGTGGTTCTATTTTCACTCTAGTGGCCTCTGTATTTACAAGATGCTTTATGTTCCTGAAAAATCTTCCATCTAGTTAGCACTCAATACTTCTAACTCCTTTTTGAACCCATGCAGGTTTCTGACAACTTGAGAAGTCAGTTGTCCAAAATAGACCAAAATATTGAGGACCAAATAGACCAAAATAATGCTCTGAAAGAGGGGAATGATTAACATAGTCATCATGGATGTTTGAAATGTAGAATGGTTAGGTTTCTCCATTTGCTAATGAGTTCCCAGAAATATATAGCCATATTTTTTCTTCAAATGCAGAGAGTGAGCGAGTGAGAGCACTGAACTATATCAGAAATAATGCTAAAGTTGAAAAGCTCAAGATACCTCCTTTCCTCTTTAGTTTTTCTACATGGAATGGTAGCATTTATAGCTAGAATGAGTAAAAATAAAGGAAGCATGTAGGATAAAAATAGATCCACAGCTGTATTTTCATTCTAATTTCCCCTTAGTTCTGCCTACAGACATTGTATGTTTAATTTGAAACATCATGGACCCTACCATTGGTCAAACTGAGGCAGTAATTTCAGGAAGCAGATACTCTAGCCCAGGCTTGTCCTACAGTCTCAAAGTGAGGTGTCTTTTGGTGGTGGGGTGGATCACGGGAAGGGAACAAGCGCCTATTTACGGCAAGGGTGGTAAAACAATGAGCCAGTCCAAATGGGAGGAAAAAAGACAAGGAAAAGAATGGCACATGAAATCCTTTACACCAGCCCAACCCCAAATGCAGCCGTCACCTCCACCAGAGCTGCTGCTTCTCCCTGTGCTGCTCCTGCTGCCACTGAAAGTTACGCTGTGCAAGTATGCCCCCACTTCCAGATCCGGTGAGGGAATGAGAAGGCGGCAACCACGGCACTGGCTCACTTTCCTCCCAACTGTGGCAGCTGCACAGTTACTCCAAGAAAGCGGAGACAAGACAACAGAGAATCAATTGATCAAGCAGACTGTACAATCATGCTGAAGCAAAAGTGCATCACTCCTCCTCCCTGGATTCCAACCAATCCAGAGCCTTTTACTGATTCAAAACTACTGGTCTTCCCTCCTGGATGTTCTGACTGACTGCAGGCAGCATCTCTTGCAATGCTGTTGGGCAATTCGAGAGACAAAGGATGTAGGAGAATAATGATAGAGGGAATCATGAAAAAACAGATAACATTTCTGCTTACCCTTCTTCTGTGTGATTAAATTGTTTGTGTTCAAGAGTCCAAAACAAAAGACAAGAGCCTCTTTTGTGATTTTCCTTTTGTTTTTAATAAGATCCAGTCCCTAATATGTACCTTCAAATGTTATGCTTACATTATTTGCAATAAAGATCCAACAATATGGCTCTCTGAACAATAATTACAATGCTATTACTATAGCATGCCCAAATCTCATAAGGGGCAAGCTAGATATTAAGGGAAATGCATATTCCCTATTACTGACCTGTTTTCCTTCACAATAGGTTAGCACTAGAAGTACATCCTTCAGCTTTCAGAGTTTCAAATTACCATATTTGCCGGTGTATAAGGTGACTGGGCGTATAAGACTACCCCCCAACATTTGCACTCAAAATGTAGTTTGTTACATACTTGCTGTATAAGACTACCCCCTCTTCCGCATGCGTGATTCTGGTTCCTTTTGTTGGGAGAGACCGAGGGTTTCCTGGAAGAAGGACAGCATCAGCGCCGAAGAGCAGACTGTCGGGAAGCAGCAGAGAGGCAGCAGCCATTTTGGACGGCAGCCATTTTGGAGAGGCGGCAGCCATGTGGTCGTATCTCAAAATGGCTGCCTCCTCTCTGCTGTTCCCGACAGTCAGCTGTTCGGCGCTAGAGTCAGGCTGTTCCCAGGCTACCTAGGAGGAGCGGGGCTCTACTCGGTCTTACTACCAGGTAAGTGACTTCGCAGGAAGAGAAGGAGGGTTTGTTGGACGTGCACCTGGCATACAAGACGACCCCCCCCCCCACTTGGAGGCATATTTTTCAGGGCCAAAAAGTCATCTTGTACGCCGGCAAATATGGTAAGTCCAGGTGTGCTTTTCAACCACTCATCAGCTACTTACAATTGCTATCTTCGAGAGGGGAATGTAAGATAGGTACCCAAAAATCACCTGCACCACAGAACAGTTGAGCATAGGGAGGAGCATAGGGAGTGGCACGTCTCTTTGCTGCTCCCACTTGCCTATGTGGTATGTGTGCGGAGGCAGTGTTTTTCTTTCTGTTTTGGGTTGTGGAAGAAGTCTGTCCCCCTCCCTATCTGTAAATGAACAATGCCTAGGATTATAGCTTAAATCTATACAGGACACAAAAAGCTTTATTCTGAATCCCAAGATTGCCCCTTTGATGTAGTTTCTTCTACCACCTTATTTTAACATGCTATGTTAAAAGAGAACTGTTCTTAAAAGTCATTTCCAATTAGCAACAATGACCTGGCACATTTAACTGTTCTGACTATGGTTGACTGAGCACGCTTGGAATCTTAATAGCTCTATAAAGGCAAGGAATGTACAAACCTAGGACAAAAGATGACTCTGGTACCACATTACTTAGCATTTTCTCCACGGATCATAGCTTAGTAAGTTTACCTGTAGTTGGAGCTTTGCACAAGCATGCCATATGCAGAGATCATTCTCCAGCAAACAGAGGAATAACAGATACAGGAGAGTCCAAACTTGTCAATATGGGCAACCCTGACAAAAAGATGCAAAATGAAACACGGTCCTGTTTCATTTTATTTATTTATTGTATTTATACCCTGCCTATCTAGTCATTTTGACCACTCTAGGCGGCTTACAACATAAAGGATAACAAGTCCTTTATACCTGTTGTGCTATCTTTCAACTGGCAGGGACTTTGTAGTATGGCTAAGCATTCAAACATGGAGTTCCCCAAGCTGCACTTTGAAATAGTCTCAAAAATGATATGGTGTGCTCGTGTGAATGTTTAATTGCATTATATATGAAAAAATTCAAAAATGTTTAAATTTTTGAAATCCTCTATAAAAGCCCATTTTCAATTATTCCTCTAAAGTTTTACTAGATTTCCATACGTTCACAAATCAATATGAAAACCACCGAAAGATTTCCAGGTCTGTCAAATGTATGTACAGTTTTTACAACCTGTACATGCACCATTATGATTGGCCATGCCTTCCTAGCACATATTTGCAACATGAATCCAAAGTAAAAATACCAATAGTATTTAGTAAGTGTTTCAAATTACAGGTAGCCAATTTGGGGCCAATTTTTGCACAGGACTTTCTTGGCTAGAAGTATCTTTTCCTTTCTCTTTGTATGGAATTTAAATTTGACTGCTTCAGACACCTCACATTAAATATGAATTTCCATTTCCTTCCCTGCATCTTTCCAACTCACAAGTGGTCTTCTCAATGAAAATGGCAAATTAAAATGGCAAGAGGCTGGACTGGCTTCCTCCTCTTCATCACTGGTGTTGGGGGAGAATTCTACCCAGTTTATTACCAAATGGTCTGGAGATGCCACCTAAAAACAAGCACTGTTATATTTATATTAAAATTACCATGAAATTTAAATGACTGTGATAAGAGGCCCTGCTCTTCATTAAAATTAAGAATAACCTCAAAGGTAGTCTTCCTATTAATTCTGTTGTACCCATAACACAAACTGTCATTTCAAGTACCTGAGTCTGAGCAAATCCATATCACCAAGAGGAGCATTGTTTACAATAATGCCCTGGGCCTTGCCTCTATGCCCATGCTCTCTCTAAATGGTCAAATCATGCACACAGTGTTGAGGTAGAGTGAGGGGTGATGTAGAGTAATTAAGGGTGGGTGAGCAATTCCAGAAGGATGGCATGAGAAGAAGTGTTTTTTTAAAACCAACCACCAGATTCTGGCATATCATACAACTTATTGCATCAGGCAGCCTGTGCTTGGAAGGAATTCTTGCAGGTAACTCGCCACCGCTTTTGTTAGGTAAGTCATTGTCCCATAAGCCCCACTAGGGGCACTGTCATAGAAAAAGTAGCAGATCCCTGTGCCTAGGTCTTGCTCCAAGTAGCCATCAGTTGCACCAAGCGCCTTCTGGAAGGAAAAATGGGGATGGGAGGGAAAGGAATGAGTTCAAAAGGGAGGGAACACAAAGCAACCTACAGAAAGCCACCAAACGGCCCAAAGCAGTGTTTCATAGAACAATGGCCTGATCCTACCAGGCCTCATCCAATGTCCATCCAAACATTCATTCATATATATATTTCCTTCCTGATCCAGCAGTTGGGTTTCGCATTTGAAGAGTCCTCTTAGAAATGCAGGGATTCCCTGTCTTTTCAGCACAGCAATGGATGGCCCATGGCTCATTGTCTGACCGGGCCAGTGGAATTGTTTAGCCAGCTGTATGCCGGAGGAGGAGGAGGACGGGCAAACATACTTTTAAAACAACATAAAACGGTAGTGGAGGCAGAGTACTCTTCAGTCATCACAGCAGCTGCTGACTGGCCAGTCACTCCCTGTTTCAGACTGTTAACGTCAGCTAAGATAACAATCCAGTCAAACAGCCATGTTCTTGCAGAATGCTCAAAGGGACCCCCTGGATTAACTACAGCTTCCCATTACTTAGGGCAGTATCTTTCAAGCTTCCTCCTGATCATCTCCCTGGGGCAGACCTGAGGGGGTGGGGAAATGACTCTGCCAGCCCTTGCCCCAGCCCCATGGCTGGCTCCGGCTTGATCCATTTTAGGTTTCTTTGCTTTTATCTTTGTTGATACTTCTCGCTTCTCACTGCCATGAGGAGCTGCAACATGAACTGCATCGTTCCAACTGCAAGCCCCCAAACAGAGGCAAAACTGTAGTAGCCAAAACATGCAGTATTGAAGCAGGTAAAATTGTTCTCCAAAGCAAAGTGAAGAGTGCCGGTTTTATCTCATTTTCCAGGCAGCAGCTCAAGAACAGCAGATTAGCATTTGCACCATGGCAGTGCCTATTGTATCATAATGCAAGGATCCTTGACATGAAGGCCTTTAAGTTCAGCCTTAACCTACACTGCTTTCAATATTATATAGATTCAATATTATATAGAGCTTTCTATGGTCTATTCAATTCTTGAAACTGTATGTTTCAGTGCTGTGACTGCAGAACAATGATGATCATTGCATGAACATTTGTAGGCTCCAAGCACTACCTGCTTGCCACTTTCTCCACTTGTGCATGCCCCAATGCAGCGACATGTAGCAAAACAAACAGATTTATAACAGGGTCAGTTAAGGTCTGCTTACTGAATGAAGCTACCAGTGTTACCACAGAGACCAACATTACCACCAGAAACAGGGCTGAACATCTGAGGTTGGCAGTCAGGCATCTGCCAAGTCTCATATCTTAACAAGGTGCCCACAGTCAACTGCTAGAATTCTCTGACTCTCCTCCTGCTTGTTTCTGCATACTTAGCTGTATTCTTTGAGTCAATAAGCAAAGAAAGGAACAAGGAGAAGGAGCACCAGCTTCTTCCAGAGGTGGGAAATGTTATTCTTTCAGGGCTACAATTCCCAGGTTCCAATGGTCAGTGCAGCCATTGGCTGGCCATGCTGTGGGATTCTGGGAGTCGTTGTCCAGAACAGGAAACTTTCCCACCTCTAGCTTCTTCTCTCCTTTGAGTTGGTGGTTCGGATTCAGCATAAGAGAACACGGCAAGCACAGCTGTTTGACTGGATTGCCATCTCAGCCACCAACATCAGGGATAAAGAAGGAGGTGAGGCTGCTCAAGGAAAGGGGTTCCTTAAAAGAATCTTGTTTGCAGATCCTCTGCAATTCAGGCTGTCAAGAGTTTTATAAAGCCAATGAAAGAAAACATGGCACACATACCTGTTCCTGAAGGAAGAGATCATTGGCTGTGTGCACGATGCGATCCACATGAATGATACCCCCAATGCTGTTCACCTCTATTTCTGACAACAGTGTAAGGACAAGGATAGCCTCCACCAGCAGCTGCCTGTATTCTGGCTGGGGTACATGATTCAGCACTGACTCCACGTGGACAGCAAACTTGATTTCACATGCAGTCATCTGCAAGTATTGGTGCCAAGAAATTTTTTTTTAAAGAAAAAAGAAAAAGAAACCAGACAAGCATGTGATCATTGCTAATAGAGCATATCAAACATTTACACACACTGTTGGCAATGAGATCTCTTGCAGTTGAAGCTAAATCTTGCAGTGAACGTTAAATCTATGGTACAGTCTAATTGAAGATGAATGGCTGGAGTGCATGTAAGGTACAAATGTTGCACATCCTGATGGTGTCTTAGAATCTTGCCAGCAGGCAAGCCACAATATTCTGGAGAGATCACCCATCCCCACATCCTAAACCTACCCCCCAAATGGAGGTAAACATTTCAGGATATTCCTAGCATAATGTATGCACATTCCGTTAGAATAACTGAACACATCTGCTTTAGGAAAGGGGAACCTGAAAGGATAGTGTTTTGTGGAGCACAGGTTGATACACAACTGGAGTTCTGTACCAAAACGTTTTTACAAAGGGTGCTTCTTACCACCCTCTCATCACTATTAACAATCTCTGAGTGAGTTATGCTGAGTGATGCTATGCTTCCATTGGGGGACCCACAGCAAAATGGATCATTCTTACAATTACTGGGTGAAAGGGGAGACCCAGCACTTGTGGGTTCACCTGAGAACCCCATTCTCTTGCACACTAGAAGTTCTAAGAGAAAAGAGGGAGACAAATCAAATAAATAGATTGACTAGTGGATTCACTGAAGCCCATGCCTTCGTAGGAAGGTATTGGTGCAAGATATTTAGCTGCCCCAGGCCAAATTCAAGGTGGATAATTGGTAAAGTCCGACAAGTTATTTTGGTACACAAGGTTAGGAAGGCCAGAAGGATTTCTCCCCAACCTTAGCAAAATAAATAACAAAATAAATAAGTAACAGTTTGCTGCCTTTTTAGGACACCCACAACATGATGCCTCATTACTCAGATTAATAGCAGGTCTGGTCCTAGCAGCTGTCCCATCGCCTGGCATACTATTAAAAAGTGGGGAGAGTAACATAGAATTTCCCTGAAAAGCCACCAGTATTTAAGAGGTTGGCAGTTAGTTTCCTGCTCTTATGTTGTTAACATGCAGGGAAGAAAAGTGGCAAGATGACATCAAAACAAAATACTACAGCCATTTGCTTATTTTTTTTAAATGACCATTGCTCCCAAAGAACACTCTCATCACAGCAGCAAGCAGTGTCAAGCAACTTAATTTGTGCAGGGGGAAAGGGCTCACACGTCATACAGCGTCACTTGGTCTCAGGAGATCTTTTGCTTATTAAGTTTGACTTCCATTAAGCCACAAAACTGGATATTGCCATGTTCTGACAGGCCTGCACAAACAATTTGACAACTTCACTTTCCTGATAGTGAAAATAGTTTATCATGTCCACATAAATTACATTACAAAGATACAAAGATTCCAGAGCACATTTTGTTTCTTAGAACTTAACACTATCAAGAAAATAGATTTGTATTATTTATCTATTTAGTCATTAAAAACTGCACACTAGTAGATTCTGGAGTAGTAACGCGATTGCCAGAGACTGTCAAGCTTTCAGCGGTACTGCTTACAGGGTGATCATGGGCTGGTCACCTCCCTTCTCCCTAAATTACCTCACAGGGTTAATAGCAAGGATAGTGAGGGTGTTTTTTTTAAAGGCCAGAACCATCTACATGAAGATTGATGAACCTGTGGCCCTCTAGATATTTTGTACTTCCATTCCAGAATGGCACATGAAATGGAAAAATGGCAGCTCTGGTCCAAAACAGCTGGAAGGCCCATTCCTGCCATACAAAATTCTCCACTTCTTCAGAGGGAGGGCAGTATATACATAAATAAAACAGAAATGACTATTCTGATTCTTTTTGGCTCACAGAAGAACTAGCAAAAGCCATACACGTCTTCCAGCAAAGTGATCTAGTAACATGCCTTTGTTCTTACAGTTACTGCTGTGAGTTATGGGCATCACCTCACACTTAAGGTGAATTTTAAATACCATGGAGGGCCCCTTCTCATATTGTGTTTGTGATTTGACAGTTTCAGTAGCACTTCTGCTTTCTGGATCACAAACTTATTATGAAAATTCTAATCTTACACACAATTCCGCAGGAATAACAGTTTATTCACACATTTATGGGAGATACATGATACAATCCTTTCATGAGACTACAGCATGTCAGGGACTGTGGCACAGTTTAAGATCAAACCACAGCATCCAAGCATTTTTAACTGATATTCTTACAGGTACTAACAAACCATTAAAGACAACTCTTCTAATTGTAGCTCTGTGAACCTCTAGAAGACTTTACTGTCCTAAGTGTTTGTGTTAGAAAAGGGCATACCCCTTGATGTTATTTGAAAACTCATCCTGTCTGCAACCATGAGGAGACAAACTGAGAGAGAATGTCTACACAACCTTGGCACCTCCAGAAGATTTTTTTATCACTGCCTTGTTTCCATTAAAAACATCAGAACATCAACAACACCCACACGGATTCAAGGATCCAGAAGTCAACAACTCAATTTCCATCTTCCATGTGACAAAAAATAAATCTGCCTTTCTAAAATCAGGATGCTCTATTAAGCTGCAACTATGAACACCTGGCAAATGTGCAGCTGTTAACAAATCCGCACCTATTACTAATAGCTTTCTCCCTTTTTTTCAATGTATTTAGGAAACAGCTGTCAAAGAACTCTTTGATATCACGCCACAAAAAACTGAACTGTTGCTTGTAATAAAGGCTCAATGTTTAAACATAAAACAGAACACACCAGTGTGTAAGAAACAGTATCATAAAAGGAACTCAGACACAAAAGGCATTTGTGTCATCACATGACTAATTAAATTAAGATTCGGGGGGAAAGTGTTCACAGCATTGAACTTACATTGTTCACTGAACTGATTTGTTGGAAATATTCACCTCCCTTTTTTATGCAATACACACACCAAAGAAGATGAAACAGCCAATGCACACTTTCCAGATCAACCGATAATTTATTTGGTGGAACTTAATGCAAGCTTTCTTCAGCTTCCAACAGAAAATAAAATTCATGCAAGCTGCAAAACCTAGCAAGCTGATTAAAAAAAAAAAGAAATATACTTCGTCACTATGTGTAATAAAAGTCTGCAATCCTTTGCAAACTTACACAGGTATTGGGAATTTCAGAGTAAATTTGCACAGAATTGGGTTGTTAGATTTATTTTTTATTCACAGAATCTCTTCATTTTCCTGCCTGAAGAAGCGTGCATTTTAGTTCACCAGTTAAAATTAGTTCAAATTAAGAAAACTGTTACTTAACTTTCCATTCATCACACCTACTACCAAACTCAGTGGAGAAAAAGCAAGTTGATGACTGTGGACTAGATAAATGTTCACCTTCCCCCACTTTCCCCTCCAGTCTATTTCATACTTCCAATTATGTAGTAATATCTCAAAAGAAACAGCAGTACAGCTCATGAGTGCCAATAACCTCGATTTCTGACCTGCTTTCTTAAACCAAAATACTCAGAGGAAGATACAGTGGCAGTCTACTGCACAAAATTTCAAGGAAAGCTCTAGTACTGAATTCAGGTATTGAGACTGATCTCATAGTACTGAATTCAGGTATTGAGACTGATCTTATTCCTTTACTTTACTTTATTTAGATGTATACCCCGCCCCTCTAGACAAAGTCTACTCGACTCAACAACCTCGGTATTCCCTCTACCAATGCCCTGTAAGGCTTACCTCCCTTGTTGTTGAAGAAGGAAGAACATAGCCATCGATGGATAGACCGTGACACTAGAACAAACATTAAATCAATAGTGAATAAAACTCATTAAAATAGTCAAAATGTAAAGATCTGGTTTATGAGAATCTGGATGGAAGGGCTAGTTGGTTTAAATAAATTCTTCCTGGAGATGTTTTGTGACATCTGGCAGGTTTATAGGATGGCCAAATAAAAGGTTTTCATGGTAGAACAAGAACAAGAAAAAACATCCCCATAACAGTTCAATCCTGCTCCTGTCCAGAGCACACTAGTTGGAGGTGTGAAAATACTTGAGAGAGAGAGAGAGAGCACACTGCACAAAATGTAAAGTTGGAAAGAAATGAGTTGCAGACATGTAGGCAAGAAAAGAGTTTTCTTTATTTAGAAAAATGTGAGAAAGAATTCCCAATTTAGAAGCATTTATCTGGATGTTGATCTATGGCCCTTTTGTGCTCCTTTTTTAAAAGTGAGTCAGACGCACATCTGAAGCTCTGCATGAAGCCTTCCTTATGGCAGGGAAGGCTGCATGAGCTTCTGGACCCAATTCAAAGGCACAGGGATGAGAGGTTAGAACCTTTCATGGTTTGGAGAAGAAGACAACTCTCTTCCTGTGGAGGTGCAACCGGTCCGCTCCCTCCTGAGCTTCTGCAAGCAAATTAAAACCTGGCTCTTCACCCAGGCCGTCCCAAGCACCAACCTTTCATAAAATTATGCTGGCCTGTTGTCTTTCATCCTATGTTCCAGACTGGTGATTTTATTGGGGGGGGGTGTAGGGTTTTGTTCTGTTCCAGACTGGTGATTTTATTGGGGGGGGTGTTTGCAGGGTTTTGTTCGTTTTCTTTTTATATGTTTTATAAGGTTTTAATAATATTTTTAGTTGTATATTTTATAATATTGTGTACACTCTCCAGAGTAGCGACATGCGCACTAAATGAGCGGGGTATAAATCTAAATAAAATAAAATAAATTAAAAAATAACTCTGTTTCTCCATTAAGTTTACTGACTTGTGTGTTCAGTCCACACAACCAAAAATGTCTGGCAGGGATAGACAGAAGGGCTTAAGGGTAGATCTGACCTAGGCTTCGAAACTCCCTCCCGAACATGGCTGACTTGTTCTTCCTTTAATGAACTCTGTCATAAGGGGAAACAACCTCCAATCTTTCCTTTACAAAGGATTTTAGTTCGTAAGGTGTGTTAGGCTTTCTCATATATACTGTGATGGAGACAACAAAGACTGAGGTACGGAATATTGATCCAATGCATAAGGAAACCAAGTTCCATTTAGAGTAAAATTTGCCTTTAAATAAAGTGGACCGTGCCTCTCCCCCCCAAAAGATTTTTGCGGAGTGAGGTGCTACCCTTATGTCGCTGTATAAGCTGCTCCTACTTCCAAATAAATATGTTTTTCTAGTAAGGATTGGCACATCAATCCTGTAAGCTCCCAGCCAGGAAGAAAGGAACCTCCTGTTTTAACTCATTTGCACCTTGAATTCAACATACTTCCCACTGTGCAGTCCTTTGAGAAAAGCAGTTTGATATCTTCAAATGAAGCCATTATAATCCACACCAACACAGGATACTTAAAAAGCCAAGCTTATTGGCTAACGTAAAGTATTTTCAGCTGTATATTGCTTGTAGTTTACCTTCTGAAGGATCTTCCATACTTTCGGGTAGAAACCCACAGGGACTCTGTTAATAGCACCATCAAGCCGCCTCCTGCGAAGCCACTGGCCTTGTCGATCGCCCCAACTGATACTGTGTCCGGTGGAACCTGGAAGGGAGGAGGTGCTGGTCGGAGAAGATGGGCTGCTGCACCTCTGAAGAAAAAGACAAAGTTCACCCAAAGAGCCAGTTACTCTTCACCCTCCCAAAACATGGGGCTTGTTCCTCACAAGGAGAGGAGACTTATTGGGAAGGCCACATGTGGTGAAGAAACTCTAGAAGGGTTAAACATGCCATTCTCCACACTCTCCGTGCTTCTCCCCACCATTTCTCTTCCCCTAAGCTGTGTTCCTTTTTGGGGTGGGTGCGGGTGGGAAGGGAGAAGGGTTATGTTACACACATATTTTTGGCAAAATCTTGTTAACTCTTTGATGCCACAGATCCAGGAACATGCACCATCCAAGGCTGCAACCCTTTCGGCTTGGTTTAATTGGTGTATGTTCCTATGCCTTTTTTTCTTTATTTCCACATTTTTAAAAACATGGCTTTAGTTTGAAAGGGAATTGGTAACCTATGGCTATAATAACAGCTTCTAAACATCTAAATAAGAAGTAATAGTTTGACACAGGACTTTGAAACAGTTTCAAAATAGTGGGTGAAGTCCAATTGACAGCCCCAGACGATGCAGACTGAAACAATGTTGATTATACAAACAATGACTTAACAACTTCACACTATGAGACGACTTTACTTGGGACTAACTATTGTATTTCGTCCGTTAACATTAAACAAACATGTACAGAAATCAATTACTGCTCTTATTAGAAAGAGGACACTTGTTACATAATTACTTGGCTAAAGTGAATATGTAATTTTCTGAGACAGAGAATCAAAAACCGTTTTAAATACAAATAATCTGCTATCAGATACAGGTGTACCTCGGTTTACGAAACTGATCTGTTCTACGCGATGTTACGTAATGTGGAAATTTCGTAAACCTAAATGCCAACTGCGCTACGAAAGGGGCGGCACTATAGAATATGAGCCCTGGGAAAAGCCTTTTGTACCGTGGGGGGGGGGGGAGGAAAACTACATAAACCGAGACATTATTTCTTATGGATTTCAGTTCGTAAACCGAAAACTATGTGAACCAAGGCCTTCGCAAACCGAGGTACTGCTAGGTGACAACTTATGGCTACAATATAGAGATATTGGATAGTTACTTTTTTCGACCATCACAATCTCCTGCCAGGATGGCCATTGGCTGAAAGATTCTAGTAGTTACAGACAAGTAACTTTCCCATTGTTTGGCTGATTGGTTAGGTTTCTTGGCATGCACATAAAATAGTCCATTGGGAAATAGACCTGCAATGAAGAATGGACTGTTCCCATGGTGAGGCTTAAGCTAGATTGGTGCAGCTCCTTCTTCTGGATACTTTAAAAAAGGTCAAATTCAAAATTTGTAAGAATCTTGTAAAGTTCTCCAATGAGCTATATCTGGTGCATCAGAAACCGAATGACTAATGCCACAGATCCAGTGACATGCACCATCCAAGGCTGCAACCATTTTAATTTCAGTTAAATGAAAGACTTAAAACCCGGGAGGAATCCCCCCTTTGAGATACTGCACAAAAGATCTCAGATGCTGAATGAGATGGTTCCATTCAGCAGAGTTGACCTGTGGTCACCCCATAGTTCAGTAGAAGTGATATTACTGAACTATGGACAAAAAGCAGACTCTTTATTGTACTGTGTTAATCCTATATGATTGCTTTCATGTGTATTGTGTTAAGCAATATCAGTATCGTGTTTAGACTTTTTACTTGCTATTAGAATTTAATTTGATATACATAAGCACATGCACGTATGTCTGTGTGTACCTTCTTTGCCATTTAGCATTCTGGAAACACTTATTTAGCATTCTGAACTCATGTAAAAAAACTCAATTATAAAAGTTACAATTAATTTAAATTAATTCCAACCCTTTCCTGAATTTTTGAATTCTCTGGCTGTACAGTCAGAGGTTATACATACTAAATCTAATGATACCAAGCCAAGAACCCAATAATTCTGACCTTCATCCTTCTGTGATATCATGGCAGTTCATGGCTAGTGGGACAGTGGAAGAGAAGAACAGCAAAATTTTTACTTATCATTTTTGCTGTTTCTCAAGATTTATGGAAAATTCTAACAGATACTCTGTACTTTAATTTATTTATTTATTTATTTATTTATTTTATTTGATTTGATTTATATCCCGCCCATCTGGTATATTCTACCACTCTGGG